AAACAGGTATTCAGGAGGGCACTCTTGGGCATACGAAAGGGCTGGGTCAAAAATCCTCACTGAATTTGCCTATTTTATTGACTAGTCGAGTCAAAGTGCGTATCAGTGAGGATGAACTAAGTGTTGACTGCATTGTGTTGAAGAAGACGTGAGCAGCATTGGCCTCGTGCTTCCTTCCCCATGTGATCGCGATACAGTATCAAGACTCCGTCAAGATGACTGACAAGGAGGACACGGTGGCTGACGCGATATACAGCCCCACGTGCATTCCACAGCAGGGCTGGTCCCTCTCTTCGGACCAAACCAGATTATACAAAACTTCACCAGGTGGGAAGGCACATCAAGTATCCTTGCCAATCACAGCGATCGGTGGGCTGTGGCCGTTGAGCCTACCACAGTCTATGGGACCATAAGTTATGAGTATGACTAGTGTATCTGACGCAAAACCCAGTCAAGTAGTGTTTGATACCGACAAAGGAAGCGAAGCGCAAACCTCGAAAGACTTAAATTCAGCTCCTGTACAAACATAATCGACCTCATCAGCGTTTTTGGTACTGCCAGACATTGGTTTGTTTCAGACCAACTCTATATCAACGAGTAAAACTCGTTCCTGGGTGTGGTTTTTGTGGGGACTGTCTGTGCGTAGCCGTAAGATCTCTCGCTCGCGTCTTCCAACACCAAAAAAAAAATTTTGTTGGGACCTGCATGGTTGCGGAATTACGCGTTCCAAACGTCAGAACTACGACATCTTTGCGAGAATACGGCAAGATAAAGAGAACAATCAAAGACGTGGACAGCTAACCGTGGATAGAGCGTTTAAAACATCTTCTATAGGTTCACATTTTAACTTCCGGCTGGAGCAGAACGAAAATTTCACAAAGCCTCGCTGACATTTGACACTCAATCAGCTAGGTTATCATGAGTTACTTTATTTTCCTTTACTCTGACGGTAACCGTAATGGCAGGATGATATTGCCAACGAAGACAAAGGAGAGTGGGATGGCCATTTCTGACTTATTAGCCGTCGTCAGCTAGTTATACACAACCCCGAAGTGTGGAACACCCATGGCTCGATCCCGCGACCTGCTACTTACAAGTTCAACACCTCTAACCACTGAGCCACGGGCTCGTTGTCTTGTCGGTTGCGGTCGGGAATATACAATGGTAGAGAGGCGCTCGTCGATCGTTTCTACGGAACTCACGCGTCCCGTTGTGCCCCACAGGCGCTCTTTCGAGCCCTCAAGTATAGAAGAAAGTCGGCTGTGTTTACAGAGGTAAATAACACTCTTCCTTACCACTATTTCGTTATTATGCCTAACCAGTTCAGGTTAATTGCGATCGAGCGCCTGGAAATCGGAAAGGGCGAAACATACTTGGAAGACGCTAAAAAATGACTGGACGTTGGTGGTAATCAGCGCCGTCACCATTGAAAACACTGAAGGAAATTATGCAATCTACATCACAGCGTCCACTGTTAGTATGCAGGAGTTCGACTACCACGTCAAATTCTGCATAGAACTGCGGGGGGGGAGGTCAGACAGGACTGCCCATTTATTTACTCATCTACCAATGATCGTCACTGAATCGGACGCATCACCGCGCCTGAGTTCTCCACTAATCATAAGAGGTCTGCGACCTGGAAAGTTTAAGGGATCATAAGACTCACACAGCTAACTGCCATCGCTTACGTATGTGGAACAAGTTTCACTCCAAGGCCATGTTCGGCAGAAACAACGGAACATAAAAAGAGTAACTTGGCTATCAAAAAGATGATAGGAGGAATTGGCTTGATCAAGTGGCTGACTTCATGAACACAGATGTTACAAACTTATAGAATGCTAAAACAAATGAGTAAGTTGGAGCTTAATTATTCTAATAAGGCTGACTACACCGTAAAGCATAGGTTTCCAAGACATGAAACAGCAGCATTCAGGCACAGCAGTCGCGGACGTCGCCTTGTACTGTTAGGCAAACAATTTTGCTTCATCCGCTAGTTTGCCGTCCACAAATAACGTTTATGCAGTGATACTGCCTGGGCATCAATACTGCCCTGTCTCCTGTGAAGTTGGGGAAATGCGGTCTCACCTGGTACATTTACACGTAGATAAGAGGTCTACACCATGCAGACCTTAAGGGAGACAGATTTTCCATGTCACTTGTAGCCACCTAAAAGAAAGTCTTCGTCAGCAAATGCCGCGCTTCTCAGTCCGCAATTGCAAGAAAAGCTTATCTCGATGTTTTGTTCACAACCTTCGTTCACGTCTTAAGGAGCGCCCTATGTAGTGCGGTAGAGCAGAACGCATCCTCTCTCCTCCAACGTAAATGGATAAGAGGCATATTTTAATTTGCATGGCACCCCATACATAAGTCTACTGTTTTTCTAGGGCCAAAGATAAGTCACACATGAAAACGAATTTAAACGAAATGAGCGCTATTCCGTAGGATATACTCAACACTTTTCTTAGTTACTTAGGCAAGGCATAAGGGTTCGACAAACGCAGGCTTTTAACGCATAAAAAATTACAACTTTCCATAATAGTAGATGATTGGTAGAGTTGGTAAAACAGTTACCGGCCGTGTGCGCTCACTCAAGTTGCGAGAATAATGTCACCTGTTTGTAAAAACTCGGATTATTTGGGCCTGTAAAAGAATCTCCGGATACATAATTTGATACAATTGTGGGCCTGAGTTTTTGCGAGAAGCAACACATGACAAAATATTGCAGCACTTGTCACGGGCTCGGTGGGCTAAATGTCTGAAATAACTTGAAGGTCTGACAATTCGTCCCCAGTGAAAAGATTTCTGCCGGAGGCTTACACCGTAAAAGTATAACTTCGTCGCGGATATTCGGAGTCCCTGAGGTTAACGGCGAAATAGCTCAGAGGCGCATTCATCGGCGGTGTACTCATCGGCCAGGTGAATGATGCCTAATGACTTGGTTGTGATACACTTCAACTGTGTGCGCGCTGTTGTCAGTCAGACCGGCTGTGGTGAGAGCTGGTAAAAGAGACGTAATAGCAGACTCTTTGGACGAGAGACGGCGGCGTGCGTCCAACACGAATGGCGATGAATGAATAAGAAGCATTGCCTAGTGCGCAAAGGGGAAGCAAAGATGAAAGACGACGGCACACAGAGAACGAGCAGTAGCGAAAATACTGTCTCACGTATATAAGACGAGCGCATTACTAAAGACATCTAAGAAAACGACGTCGGAATCGAAAGAATCCGAGAATTGAGCAGAAAAGGATAGGAGGATGACGGGTATGGCATTAATTATTGTCAATGCCCGCGAAATTAGAATATGTGCGACGTCATTCTCGTTACAACCTTCGTCCCGGGAAGAGGTACCAACAGGTTTTTGTAGTTCCGTAAAGGTCTGCCGCTGTTTACTGTTCATGAACTCTGGAATGCGCTTAATTAAGACCAACTCAACAGACGGACATTCCGGATCCAGGATGCTCAAGAATATTATAAAACTTGAACAGTTCTGTACTGTAACTGTATAGTAACAGCAAAAAGAGGATACTTATTTTTCGTCAAAAAGGAGCGCAGTAGTCGATAAATAAGTGGGGGACATATTTTTTATAATAATGAATGATGCGGAGGTGGTTAATCACGACGCATAATAGATGCTATCAGAAAGAGGTCAACGTGAGAGGGTCCGAGCATCCCTCTCCGTCTTCTAAAAACAAAACCCTTATTCGCTCAGCCAATCCAATAGACCGTCACACGCACACAGAAGGAGCAACAACTCCAAAATCACTCTTTCGGCCCGCCTAACTTTTAGCACAGTAAAAACGCCCAGGGTTCTCGTCATAACATTCCATTACGTGGAAATGGATGCAAACTTATGTTGTTTTTATGAGCGGTTTACTTCTCTCCTACAGAAATACGCATAACTTAGAAACTTTACCGGGCATTATGACCACTAACAGGTTATTTACACTAATGCGCATTCTTCGTTAAATAGTTTGCGTTTTGTTGAAACAAATGAATGAATACGGATCATCTTCGGAACCGGACCGTCAGACTTTGGACAAAAGTAGTCCGAATGTTTTAATGCTCTCCGCTTTCCATCCTCTTGCTCTTTCATGCAACCGTTTCGATCTTTATGTTCCCTAGTAGCAAACTATATCGAGTAGATATACGTGAATAGCGATTTATCGAGATTTGTGTATCTGTCACGTAATTGGCTACCTCAGCTGTGCCATCTGCAATTTCATTGGCTGCCGTACTTTAGTCGCATTACGATTGCGC